CGAAAAGAAAAGAAAAAAAAAAAAAAAGTTACTGAAGAAAGCTCCCTAAAGGACTCTTGGTTTCTGTGCTTTTGTTGACAAGACTTTTCTAATGGTTAAGGAACAGCAGTGTCTATTGTTATGTACAACAATTCCTATTGTTGTATAAATTATTTCAAAACACAGAATAAAGAAATAATGCTCCGGGCTTCCCTGGTGGTGCAATGGTTGAGAGTCCGCCTGCCGATGCAGGGGACACGGGTTCGTGCCCCGGTCTGGGAAGATCCCACACGCCGCGGAGCGGCTAGGTCCGTGAGCCATGGCCGCTGAGCCTGCGCGTCCGGAGCCTGTGCTCCGCAACGGGAGAGGCCACGACAGTGAGAGGCCTGCGTACCCCCGCCCCCAAAAAAAGAAATAATGCTCCTCAATTTGTGATGTAAACTCTGATTCTTAAGTCTACAAAAAAAAAAAAAAAAAAAAGTAAAGAAAGCCATAGACCAGGGATTGCAAACTCAAGTGTCTGTAAGCGCCAGAAACTATAAATGGGTGAAGTTGACTCGTGTGTGTGAAATGACTGGGGAAAGTGGGAGCTACAGGAACTGAATAGTGTGCACCTTTTATTCAAGAATTCAAAATCAAATGCTTCAAAATCCTGTGCTGGTCACATAAACAAGTCCCATGAGTCACCAGTTTGCAGCCTCCGGTACAGGTTAATCTCTGTTATAAAATAGATGTAAAAATCCTAAATAAAATACTAGCAAGTTAAATTCAACCTACACTACGATGTTTTAAGAACCTACTAAGACCAAGTTACATTTACTCTAAGGGATGCAAAAACATTTTAATATGTGGAAATTATTTTAAAAATAATCCATAATCTCACATTGGAAAAACCTATATGATCATTTCAATAGATGTCGGAACTTAATACCTGACAAAGGGAGGCCCAGGAATCCAGAGCTGGGTTGGGTGTGAGCTGGCAAAGGATGTCCCAAATGTTGCATGTAGGGGTAAAGCCTGGACCAGGCCCAGCAGACAGACAGCCCAGTGAAGTGTCGATCCAAGGAACTGGACACAGAAGCAGAAATTAGATAAAGGCAAGAAGACAGGGCCTGCAGAGATGCTTGGGAAGCACAGCCTGGGGACTTTACTGCAGGAGCCTCCCTGTCATCTGGTCCTGAGCCAAGTTTGGACTTTAGCTGCTGAAAACACTGGAAACATTTGAAGACATTCAGCATTCACATATCATAATATTTCTCCTAAAACTAAGGTTAGGATAATGTCGTCGCATGAGAAAGGACACATCACAGAAGCAGCCCACTTAAAACTAAAAAATGCTTTCCCGCTCTGATTTTCTGAGGATCCATTTTGTATTTTCAAGACTTCCTACAATAAAAGAAAAAGAAGCAAAATGGAAGTTATAGGGGAACCTGAGGGAAGAGGAGACAGTGGGGAGCAATGAGGCTTGCATTTTATACGGTCAAATCTAAATCAATCAAGGCATGTTATACCTCAATAACCAATTTATTCTATTTTTTTAATTTTTAATTTTTTTTAATTTTTAAATTTTTAAATTTTTGGCTGCATTGGGTCTTCATTGCTGCGCGTGGTCTTTCTCTAGTTGCAGTGAGCGGGTGCTACTCTTTGTTGTGGTGCGCGGGCTTCTCATTGCAGTGGCTTCTCTTGTTGTGGAGCACAGGCTCTAGGCACGCGGGCTTCAGTAGTTGTGGCTTGCGGGCTCTAGAGCGCAGGCTCAGTAGTTGTCGCACACGGGCTTATTTGCTCCGCAGCACGTGGAATCTTCCCAGACCAGGGCTCGAACCCGTGTCTCCTGCATTGACAGGCGGACTCTTAATCACTGCGCCACCAGGGAAGTCCTAATTTTTAATTTTTTGATTTTTTTGGCTGCACCGCAGCTTGTGGAATCTTAGTCCCTGGGCCCCCCGCAGCAAAAGCATGGAGTCCTAACCACTGGACCACCAGGGAATTCCCAATAACCAATTCATTTTAAAAAATAGTAAAAATCTAAGTGGGTACTGATAGAGTGACAGGGAATAAGTACTAAGTCAGGACTCCACACCTCTACCTCGTACCATACACACAGAAAATTTCAGATGGATTACAGACTTAAATGTAAGATGTAAAATAAATATTGTAGGAGAAAATATATGAGACCATATACCTCATCAAGGATCAGGGAGATCTACCTAACCAGAAGAGAAAATGAGAAGACATAAAACAGGAGGAACATAATTGATTCCAAAAAAAGTTTAAAATTTTTAAAAGACCTTAAAAAGTCAAAATGCAGTGATAAATTGAAGAAAACTTTCAATTTCAAAAGGATGAAAAAAGTCTTAAAATTGACAAGAAAAAGACAAATAATGCAATAGCAATAGATAAACTCATAACGATTATGAAGAGGCAATTCTGGGAAAAGAAATCCCAGTCAGGAAACCAACTGAGACACTCCCCAGCAGAAAATCACAAATTAAAAACCAAGGCATTCACTTCTCACCTATCAGATTAGCAGAAATTCAACAGTGATAACAACTGCTGTTGGAAGGGATGCAGGAAAACCATACTCTCACACATTGCTGTCAGAAAATTTGAATTGTGTTTGAAAACACAATCTGGCAATAGCTATTACCATTTAAAATTCCCCTTTCCCCAGTAATCCCATTCCTGGGAAACTCTACCACAGAAATGAACACATTAGTGCATAGGGATAAGTGTAGAACCATGTTATGATAGCCTTGTGGTAGTCACAAAAACTGGAAACCAAGTGAATGCCCATTCAAGAAAGGAGTGGCATATTACGCAGCCATTTAAAAAGAATGGGTTAGACCTGTCCCATCCGTTCTGGGGGAATTTCTACTGTGTTTATGGTCAAGGGAGAAAAGCAAGATACAAAGTGTATGTAAATAAAAAACCCGTGTGTGTGTGTGTGTGTGTGTGTGTGTGAATTGTTACAAAGGTGGAAGGAAGTAAGGAAAGAAGGAAGGTAGGAAGGAAGCCAGACTGTTAACATAGAGGGGAAGGGGAGAGAAATACTTAAAAGTAAGTTTCTATATTTAAAAACCATGTGTGTAATGTGATGCCGTCCATGCAAAATCTATACACATAAAGAGATGGGGAAAGGATCATCACCAAAATATTAATGATGATTATCTCAGGGAGTGGGATTGCAGGTGACTTTTACTTTTTTCCTTATTTTTTCCCTATGTTTTAAATGTTATATAATGAGTATATATTATTTATACAATCAGTGGAAAATCAAGTTATTTTCATTGTTGGGTGCAGGGGAGTATGGGCAGGTAGACAGTCCCTGGGGGACCTGATTTTATGAGCACACAAGATCAATATTTAATTAACATATCAATCGCTGGCATGCCAACTGATGTTTTCCAAAATCTTGAAGTGTAGTTTCTCTTAAGTAGCCAAACTGTCATCTGAAACATTGTTTACAATTCTCCCACTTAACTAATGCTGAAGAATAGAATGATTACAAATACCAAAGGGGCAGGAGATGATTAAAGGAGGTTTTATTTAAGTGCCATCAAATAACTGCATCTCCTGCACTCATCACAGCTTAGGATTTCCTCATTAAGCTTATCTCCGGCCACCTTCCAAACCCTTTTATCATCACTTTCAAGCTTTTTCTTTTCTTTTTTTTTTTTAAAACCATTTTTTTTCCAGACCTCTGTGTAATGATTCTTAAAACCTTCATTATAAATTTCCAACTTTCGCTTTGCTCTTTTTATTGCTTCCATCTCACGGAGCTTGGCTTCACTGCTGGGGATGCACCTGGCTATGCTGGGCACTCCTCTCACTCTTGTCCCCTTCCCTCTCTCAGTAGACCTGCCAGGTTCAGGGGAGGGCTGCAGAGGTTCAGGCCTGGTCTATGGCGGTGCTTGAACACAGCAGCCTCTCCAAAAATGTTAGGATCAGCTCATGGAACAGGAAGTTGGGCTTCCTTTGATCTTTCTTTCGCAACATTTACTGAGCATTGCCGGGTGTCCATTACCGGGCCAAGGATTCGAAGGTGAAGTTATGATTCTGGAGAAAATCACAACCAGATATGCAGACAGTGCTGGGTAAGCACTTAGGAGGATGCCACCGATGGGAAGGGGGAGAGGAGCAGGGGAGCAACTGCTAGGGCTGGGCACAGCGAACGGCACACGCAAAAGTCTGGTGGTTCTCCAAGTGTGTTCCCAGACTAGTAGCATCGGCATTACCTGGGCACTTGTTGAAAATTCTAATTCTCGGGCCCCACTCGTGACCTACCAAGCAGAAACTCTGGGAGTAGGGACCAGCAATCTGTTTTATCAAGTCCTGCGGGTGATTCTGACATACCCTAGAGTTCGGTAACCACGGCTCTAGTTGAGGTCTGAGGATGCCTAGGATACGAGGGAGAAGAGAGAGGAACCAAGGCTTTGTGAAGGGCCTCAGATGCCAGTCAAAGGAGTTAGACTTTGCCCCGTAGGTAAGGCCTCCATGTTTTTTAAGCAGGGCTTGTGGCACTTAGACAATCTCTCCCAACTCGGCGTTTCTGGGAGCTCTAGCATTCTCTGATTGCACGAGGGCGGAGAGCCAGCTGATTTCTGCGGGGCTGAGTCCCCCACCCCCACCCCCGACCCCAGGCGGCGAGCCAGAGAGAGGTCGGCTGCAGACCTCTCTGCCCCCTGGTTCCATGGGCTTGCCGTCCAGGAGGAGGTGAGCACACGCAGAAGCTGGGGCACTGACCAAGACGGGGAAGGGACAACCCGGGAACCGGACCCGGCGCGAAAGGCCAGCAACGCTCCCGACGCGCTGCGCAGCGGGAACCAACAGCTCTGTAGGCCCAGGCTCCGCCCCTGGCCCACCGGGCGCGGCGTTTCGGGCCTGCGGGCCCCGCCCCCCGCCCCGCCCCGGCGCGCGCCAGGCTCTCCTCCCTTGGGGGAAGCCGTCTCTGCCCGCGCCCGTGCGCGCGCCCGCGGCCGGGTTGCAGGGCTGGGCGCGCGCCCCTCGTCCCGGGAAGAAAGATGGTGGCGAGCGTGCGGGTGCAGAAGCTTGTGCGGCGCTACAAGCTGGCGATTGCCACGGCGCTGGCCATTCTGCTGCTGCAGGGCCTGGTGGTGTGGAGCTTCAGCGTCCTGGAGGACGACGAGCCGGGCGAGGTGCTCCGACGGCCGGGCGGGCAGGCGGGCAGGCCGGGCGCGGGGGCGCGCGGGGTCCTGGCGGGGATGCGGGCGGCCCCGGCCGGGGAAGTGGGGCACTGGCCGTTTGCGTGTCGCGCGCGGGCGGCCGCCTGGCTCGGGGCCTCGGACCCCTGTGTCCCGGTTCACAGGCGGGCCCGGGGGCCTACGTGCGGGGGCTGTGCGCGACCCGGAGGACCGGGCCGCGGGCCGGCAGGGGCCCGGGGCGGGAGGAGGAGGTCGTGGTGGGGTGGTCTGCACCCCGGGGAGCAGTGAAGGTCAGGCGCGGGTGCGGGGGGAGCGGGGCCGGGAGGCGGCGCTGGGCCCGAGCCTGCTCGGAGGTGGGGAACCCCAGGCCAAACTTTCTGAAGTTGGGAGGGGGCGGGAGTGTGCGCGCCGTGGGCGGAGGACTGGGGCCGAGGGACCCCGAGCAACCGCGCCCAGCCCGCCCGTCAGGGGCAGCAGCCAGTGAGGAAGTGGAGCCTGGGGGTGGAACTCAGTGTGGCAGCTGAGGAGAGGGACAGTGACCCCGAGGGAGAGAACTCGAGTGTGCCTGAGACGTGGCTTCCTCAGCCAAGGGTCTGAGGAACCTGCATGGGTCTTCAGGAGAGGATGGCAGGGGAATTGAGCTGCTGAGGGGGCCCTAGGACATTAGGGAATTGGGGACTCGCCCCCTCTGACTCTAAGGGAATGGGGACAGCAGCAGCTGGTTTAGCAGAACCCCAGGCCCTGGAGCAGGGGCAAACCCCATCTTGCTTATTCCCCGGGTCCTTGCTCTGAGGGTCTCACTCACTGTTGGCTGATGTGGTTTCAGCTGGAGGCCCAGACATGCCTTCCCCAGTGTGGTCAGGAGGGTCCAGTGGTTTCTGAGACCATCCTGGGAGGTTGGAGAGGATAGGCCAAACCCTGGCCCTTCGCTGTGGGCCAGATGACAGGGCTTCCCTGCCCCCACCCCTTGGTTCTCGTGCCTCTAGGGCTCTGAGTCAGACACTCTGCTTGCCCCGTCCTCTTGGGCCTCTCCACCTGGCAGGGCGAAGGCCAAGGGAGCCCTGATGTCCTCTTCCCCTTCCTGCATGTGGGCAGTCTGGAAGGCCTGGTGTGGAGACTGGGAGAATTGCTGCTTTCGCCTTTTTTTGGGGGGAGAACCAAGAGACTAGGATGGTGACGGGAGCTGGGACAGAGTCACATGAGACCATAACTCCAAAAGGAGCTGAGGTTGGGGTTGGGGGAGGCTGGCTCTGTGGCATCCGAAGGGCGTGAGCTTGTTCTTTGTGGTCCAGTAAGTAGCAGGAAGGGGAAGAGAGTGTATGAAGATTTTTTGGGCAGATGAGACATTCTAAGATGGAAAGGGCTGCCAAGGAGTTAGGGACCCTCTGACCCTGGAATATGTGAGCAGAGGCCAGTGAGCACTCTGGCGAGGGGCATGGCAAAGCATCAGAGGCTTCCCAGAGACAAATCTCTGGATGGGATGAGAGATTGTCCAGGCCTCAAGGTCCCTGCTGCCCTGCCTCCAGCCTGGGGTGGAAAACTGGTGCAGCAGAGTGCTTGGGATCCTGCCTCCCCACCTCCTCCTCCAGCTTCCTAGCAGAACCTGATAGGGGAATCCCTGGACTAGAATGGGAAAAAGATCCTTGATGACCTAAAGGCTGTGTAGTCCAAGCAGCCCTTGGGGCTTGGACCCCTTCAGCAGCCACCTCAGTTGGACCATGCCACTTCACCGTCCTGTGTCCTCTTCCAGCACTGCTACTGGTAAGTGGTGTGACCAACTGGCAAATCGCCTCACCTCTTTTGCATCCTCATCAGTTTCCGCGCCCCAAGGATGGGGGCAATGATAGCACCTCTGTCGTTGGGTGATGCCTGTGAAGTATTTGATGATTATTTGCTAAATCATCAGTAAATAACTCTTGTTATTATTTCAATACTGCACAGTGGTAACAGGGATTCATTCATTCATTCAGTCAGTCAGTCATTCAACAAATATTTATTAAGTCCTCCTTCATACCAGGCACTGTGCTAATACTGGGGATACAGAAATAAATATAACAGACGAGGTCTCAGCCCTCGTGGGCAGACAGGGAGAGGCTGACAGTGAAAAGGAAACTCAGTAACAAGAGGGCTGGTTTAGATAGGTGGTTGGGGAAGGCTTCTGCAGGAATTGGCCTGTGAGTTGAAAGACCCAGCCTGGGGAAGAGGTAGGCAGAGTTCAGGCAGAAGGCCCTGAGGAGAATGGGCTTAGCTGGGCGCCTTCAAGGAATGGAAAGGAGGGTGTGGTGCGATCCCTGGAACAAGGTTCAAGAGTTAGTCCAGGGCACATCCTAGAGCCCGCAGTGAGCGGCTGGGGTTTTATTCTAAGTGGCTCTAAACTAAAGGGGTCTAAGCAGCGATGGGTGAGATGTGCATTTAAGAGGCACACTCTGCCCATCTGTGTGGGCTAGACTGGAGACCAGAGATGGCCATTAACATCCAAAGAGCCATTTTATGGTTTTCAAAGCTTTTACAAACATTGTCTCGCCGCTTACTTTATGTACACATTTAGTTTTATTGTAACAAAGCAACTTGTACACTTTTTAAAAAAATTAATTTATTTATTTTCGGCTGTGTTGGGTCTTCGTTTCTGTGCGAGGGCTTTCTCTAGTTGCAGCAAGCGGGGGCCACTCTTCATCGCGGTGTGCGGCCCTCTCACTATCGCGGCCTCTCTTGTTGCGGACCACAGGCTCCAGACGCGCAGGCTCAGTAGTTGTGGCTCACGGGCGCAGTTGCTCCGCGGCATGTGGGATCTTCCCAGACCAGGGCTCGAACCCGTGTCCCCTGCATTCGCAGGCAGATTCTCAACCACTGCGCCGCCAGGGAAGCCCGCAACTTGTACACTTTTAACGTTTAAAACTGAGCATCATCTTTCCTTTCCAGTGAAACAAAAAGAAAAATTTAAAAATAAACAGGAACAAAATTACAATAGAGAATGTCAATTGCAAATAAGATCCTACAGGTTCTGCTGATTCTCCCATCCAGTGGCAGGGCTCAAGTCATCATTAGGAGAGAATTTTATTTTTCAAGTGTCATCTTAAACTGCAAGGATGTCCGTTAAACATCACAATTAAACGTGCCAAAGGAGAAGCCATGCTGTCAAAATGCCCACTTAACGCACCCAAACATCTCAGACCCATTCTTTGCTGACATTCTATAACCCCATTTTTTAAAGTTTTTTTTTTTCTTTTTTTAAACAAGAGAAAGTAGACAGATACATGCTGGTAAATGCTAACTGTCCAAATTAACATAGAGACACAGTGTAATCTCTGAGCCCAATATACAGAGAAAGGAGGAAAAAAGCTAGAATTCTATGCACTACTACACAGGGGCCTAGCACCCTCCAGCTTCCAGCAGAGCTAAGGGAGCAGAAGGTTTTTCTTTTTTCCCACAGAGCATGGTGGTGTTGATTCCATAAAGTTTTTGTTGAGACAGGAAGGGATAAAAATGAATTTGGAACAGAAAGGGGTAGAGATTCTTTTCCCACCGAATTCTGCTCAAGGTATTTCCCCCCAAAATAAGTTGTGAGCCATGGTATAAAGGAGAAAAGAGACCTCAGAAACAGGGCAACTGAGCACAAGAGGAGAAGGAGAAAGAAAAAAAAAAAAGACTGCAACTTGCTCCCAGGGACTGGAGAAAATTTAAAAAGGAAGGGCCGGCATCCACCAGTGTTCCACGAGTCGTCTTCTCCTTCATCTTCCTCTCCTCCCTCCCCCTCATCATCATCGTCATCATCATCATCATCAGCAGCAGCAGCAGCAGCAGCAGCAGCAGCAGCAGCAGCAGCAGCAGCAGCAGCATCATCATCATCATCATCATCATCATCATCTCCTTCCCCTTCCTCGTCATCCGTGTCCGGAGCCAAGTAGTACTGTAATGGATTTGGCCAAGTATCATCTTTGATGACCTCTCCTAACTCATCTGCACCTTTCCGGATTTCCATTTGATTTCAGTGGACTTTGAAGATGGATCACCACTCTCGTTCAGATGCAATTCTTTGGAGAGAACTTTATTTTCAAAGAAAGGGTTTTCATCAAAATAAAAACCTATTCTGTAACCTGATTTAATATCTTCAAATTCTGTCACTTCGACTCTTGTCAAATAATGCAGCGCCTCTTCATCCTCCTCCCCGAGCAGTGCAGACACTTGTGGGTGGTTGACAAATGTTGTTACCCCCAAATTTGGGATTTTGGCGATCAATTCCGACCTCTTCTGAAAAAATGGTTGGCGGAGTTTGTTATATTTCTGTTCTACGTCCAAAATCTCCTCACTGGCTTGTTCGTTACGTCTATTTCATTTGGTACGTCATCAATATGTTCAGTTGCTTCTTGCTGTTCTCTTTGGAGGGGAGGCGGCGGCGGCGGCGGGCGGGCAGACGGCTCTGCTCCCTCACTCACACTCCGCGCTCCAGCTCGCAGCTCCGTCCCTCACCGCTTACTTTAAACGCTCTGTGAAGTCCAAGGTGGTGGGGTGTGGGATAAGCATTGCTGTATTCTCTGTCTCCATGGCCCAGAGCAGGATTCCAAGGAGAAGCTGCAGAGTCAGGGAATGTCAGAGGACTTTGAATTCCTCCTCAGTGGGGAGAGGGGGCCTCGGAGGCCAGACTGCCTCCAGGCAGGTGTCTCAGGGCCAGTCCCCATCCTCAGTAATTAGAGGGGACTCTGACCTCAGGGGCGACTGGGGGCAGCTCCTCTAGGGGCACAGATATGGGCCCTGCTGCTGCACATATAAACATTCTTGGGGTGTTTATATGTGGCGGGGGCTGGCTGCCCACCAGGAGCCCCCCTCCCAGTTCTCACTGCGGCCTTCTGGTCTCCCAGCCCCCTCTGGGATTGTCCTTCTCAGGGTCAGCCAGCTCCCTGCTGCAGTGCAGGGCGCCAACATGCCCGTCTCCTCCCACATCCCATCCCCCACCACAGCGAGCCTGGCCCTGTGCCCTGTCGCCCTGACCAGCTTCCTCACTCGCTGATACCGACTTGCATCTTGAGAGCCCACAGCTCCTCTGCCATCTCCACCCACCTAAGCTCGAGAATGTCTTCCTCTGCCCGCTGTGTGGCCAGGTCCGACATCACCAGGTTGATGTATGCTCAGTTCAGCGGGGCTGCAGCCACCCTTCCTGAGGGCTTTCCAGTCCAGGGTGCCCTCCCCAATGTGGGTAACAGATTGGGATCTGCTGCCTACCCCCCACCTGCCCTCCCCTTTGCAGATATCTCTTCTCAGGTGGAGATAGACATCCCTGGCTCTCACTGGGCACCTCCCAAGGGGGCTGGTTGGGTGCCAGGCACAGAAGGCTGGGGTGCTATGGTAGGGGTGGGGCCCTGGCCCTAAGGCACTTGCCGTGCTCTGACAGAGGAGGAGAGGGAGGTCCTAGGGAGGGGAGGGACAGGGAAAACCCAAACCGATGGTCCAAAGTGTCTGAAGGCCTTTGCTTCTCTCCTAAGTTCACGTTTGACTCTTTCCTATTCTCCTTCCATTAATAATAATAGTAAGGATGACAGCATTTACTGAATGCTGAGCCTATGCCAAGAGCTTTTCATTCATTCACTCATTCATAAATGCATTCATTCAACAAATATTTATTGAGGGAATTCCCTGGTGGTCCAGTGGTTAGGACTCTGCACTTCCAGTGCTGAGGGCACGGGTTTGATCCCTGGTAGGGGAGCTAGGATCCCACAAGCTGCACGGCGCGGCCAAAAATTTTTTCAAAAGAAAATATACATATATATATATATATATATCGTGTCTCCCATTGCCAGACATTCTTCTGGGCTCTAGGAATACATCTGAACAAAACAACAAAAAGCTTTGTCCTCATGGACATTACATTCTTATAAGGGGAGAGACATGGAATAACACAATATACATTTATACATATAAATACATTATAGGATGAGAGAAGGTAATAAGTGCTATGGGAGAAACAAAGTGAAGGCTGAGGGAGAGCTGGAGGTTTTTTGTTTTTTTTTGCGGTACGCGGGCCTCTCACTGCTGTGGCCTCTCCCGTTGCGGAGCACAGGCTCCGGACGCGCAGGCTCAGCCGCCATGGCTCACGGGCCCAGCCGCTCCGTGGCATGTGGGTTCCTCCCGGACCGGGGCACAAACCCGTGTCCCCTTCATCAGCAGGCGGACTCTCAACCACTGCGCCACCAGGGAAGCCCAAGAGAGCTGGAGTTTTAAATACTGTGGACAGGGTGGCCTTCCTGAGAAGATGCCACCTGAGCAAGGAATTGGAGGCAGGGGCTGTGGGGACATCTAGGGGAGAGCATTCCGGCACAGGGGACAGTGAATGCCAGGCGGGACGGAGGGACGCTGAGAAGGCCATCAGGGCTGGAGGACAGTGAGCATGAGAGGGTGGTGGGTGAGGTCAGGAAGGGTGGAGCAGAGGTGGGGGAGCCAGACACAGCTCGCATAGCCTTTGTAGGTTCACGGGCTTTGTCAGAGGGGGAACCATGGGTGGTTTCACGCAGAGGAGTGGGGACACGGGACCGGTTTTAAAGGAAACACTGGCTGCTGTGATGAGAGTGGACTATGGGAAACCAGAGTAAGAGCAGGGGGCTTCCAGGCAGGGGTGGTAATGATGGAGGCAGTGAGAAGCGGTCAAATTCTGGATATACTTTGAAGGGAGCCCCAAGAGGAGGTAATGATGATGGAGTGTGAGGGAAACAAGAGTCGAAGTGACGCCCCTAAGTTTTCGGCCTGAGAGACTTGACGGATGGAGAGGTCATTAACTGATACGGGGAAGACTGAAGGAGGAGGCTACTGGGGCAAGATCAGAAGTTCGCTTTTGGATTTGTGGGTTGACAGGTCTATCAAGCTCCCGAGGGAGGCATCAAGGAGGCCGACAGTTAGACATTTGAAGGTTCAAGGGAGCGCTGCAGAGCAGAGAGAGAAATCTGGGAGTGGATGGAGTTAGGAGACTGAATGAGGTCACCTGGGGACCTAGGACAAGGCAAGGCCCCAGGGTGGCCTTGGGAGATAAGGAAGGGTCGGCCAAGAAGACTGATAAGGAGTGGCCACGGAGGCCACACCAGGGAAACACCAGGAGGGCATCCTGGAAGCAGAGGGAGTGGGGTGCTTCAGAGGCTGTGGTCCAGTGAGTCATGCTGCTTGCTGGAAGGCCAGGCCAGAAGAGGACTTGAACAGAGAGTGTTGAGAGAGGAAGGGGACAGCTGGTGGCGCCACCTTTCTAGCTGCACTATCTCATGCTCTATCTCATTGGACACTCACGCTTCCATCCTGTATTTTAAGGCTGAGGGAACCTGCTCAGAGAAGGTAGGTAACTGTGGGGAGTGGCAGAGCTGGGCAGGGAGCTCTGGTGACTTCACAGTAGTCACACAGTGCCTTTCACTCCTCCATCCTTTCCGTGTTTCATCCACCTGACACCAACCAGACATCCTATGTGCCAGCTACTCCGCCGGGCACTGGGGTAATGGGGCTGAAATGACAGCCTCTCCCCAAGGAGTTGGTTGGGTAGAACGTCCCACCCTGGGGCAGACGGGATGGCTTCACACAAGGAGACTCAGGGCTGGATCTTGGAAGGATGGATGGGATTTGGTCAGGCAGGGAAGTTGGGGGGGGGGTGCGTCACAAAAGGGGGACAGGGAGAGCTGGGAAGAGGGTGGGTATACACACTTTCGAGTGTGACCGGACCATTAGGGAAGTGCCTGGGTTTGAGAAGAGGCTGTAGGAGCCAGGAAGCAGGGGTGGAGATATTGAGGCGCAGCATTCAGCTTTCCCTTCGAGAGAGACCCTGCCACAAGGAGCAGTGAGTTGCCAGCCTGCAGCTGCAGGTGCCTCAGGCTCTGCTTCAGCCGTCCGGCCATGGCCAGGCACCTCCTGGGCCGCCCCCAGCAGTGGTACCGTGGCTCCCATCTCTAGGCTGTCTTTGCCCTGGAGCTTCCCACTAGGTGGTCGAGGCCCTCTCCAAGCCGAGCTGTCGTCTGAAGCTCTTCCTTCCCCCTCTTTGCACAGGTGTCAGGCCGGCTTGGCTATCTGAAGGCTCTCCCTGCTGCTTCCTGCTCCTGCTTCCTCATCTTCCAGAGTGTGACCCCCCCACCCCCCAGTGAATCCCTTGCACCCTGACTCTCTCTTGGTCTCTGCTTCCCAGAGAACCTGACCAGTAATGGGGTCTCAGATTTCACCTCTGTCCTCCCCACCAGGCAAGACCCCTTTGCTCTGTTGTGGCCTCAGCACTCCCACGCGGAAATATTGTAGTCAGTAGAATGCTTTCCTTCTGAAGAGCACCGTCTCTTCCTAGTCTGGCCCGGGTGGGAGTGCTAGGTGGACACTCTTGTCTGCAGGGTCTTTGCATGTTTCTCTTATGATATATGTGGATATTCGTTTTCATAGTTGCTGAAAAAGAAAGTGGTATCTGAATCCAAAGCACAAAAGAGATTCAGTGCCCTGTGCTCTGTGTGATCGTGGGGACGTGGGTGCGACGGTACCTTCAGGGAGGGCGACATTTCCTCCGCTGGCTGGTCAGGGAGGCCTCTCAGCAGACGTGCTCTTTGTGCAGAGTCCTCGGGCAAACAGTACTTTTCTGGATCAAGGGTGGCAGGGGCTTCCAGGCCTGAGGCCCAGCAGGAAGCTGAGGGAGCTGGAGGGGAGTGACTGTCCCAGTGACCTGTGTCCGCCGATCTTTTACAGAAAGGAAGGCAGAAGAAGCCACGGCCGCTAGACCCCGGTGAGGGCTCCAAGGACACAGACAGTTCAGCTGGGCGGCGGGGCGGCGCGGGCAGAAAGCATGGGCGCTGGCGGGGCCGTGCTGAGAGCCCCGGCATGCCCGTGGCCAAGGTGGTACGGGCAGTAACCAGCCGGCACAGAACCAGCCGGCGGATGCCCCCCACCCCGCCCCCAGAGGCCCCAGGCCGCCAGAACCTGAGTGGGGCAGCGGCCGGGGAGGCGCTGGCTGGGGCGGCTGGCTTCCCGCATGGAGACACAGGGAGTGTGGAGGGCGCCCCCCCGCCCACAGACAACACCTTCACGCCCAAGTGCGAGATCGTGGGCAAGGATGCTCTGTCTGCACTGGCCCGGGCCAGCTCCAAGCAGTGCCAACAGGAGATTGCCAACGTGGTGTGCCTGCACCAGGCCGGGAGCCTCATGCCCAAGGCTGTGCCCCGGCACTGCCAGCGGGCTGGTAAGAGACAGGCACGGGCAGAGAGGTGGCAGCCCGGGAGGGGGCACGGCAGGGATCCTCACCTCCATCTCTCAGGGATGAAAGCTCAGAGGGGCTCCCCTTGCTGCCCAAATTGGGTGATGAGTGCACTAAGTGCAGAGGTGGAGCTGGGGCCTAGGAGCAGTGGGCTCTAAGTGCAGGGTTCCTCCTTTGGAAGGCAGGCAGCCCCCTCTTCCCGTCTTGTCTCCACCCTGTGACCTGGGGCCAGACCTCACCGATGCCCCTGTTCTCTACTCTCAGGGAAGATGAGCCCCGGCACCCAGTGGGGCGACGTTCGGGCCCAGCAGCCGGCGGACGGCGCCCCGGTACGAATCGCCTACATGCTGGTGGTCCACGGCCGCGCCGTCCGCCAGCTGAGGCGCCTCGTCAAGGCTGTCTACCACGAGCAGCACTTCTTCTATATCCACGTGGACAAGGTACCCACTGTGGCCGGGGAGGCCAAGGGCATCTGCGTAAGTAGAGCAGACACTCACGAGGTCATAGACGGACAGTGTCTCTGGCCTGCTCGGGTGGCCCAGAGGTAGGGGAACAGGGAATGGGGGAGCAGCCAGCACCAGGTGACATGGCTGCTTCAGAGCTGGAGCCCTGGCCCGTGCTCTCTCCATTCTGCGACACTTGTACTCTGCTCTGGGGCGGGGAGGAGTGAGAAGGCTGTTATGCTGGGGGTCCATCTCCCACTGCTGAGTTTCCACCGCCACCTCCCCACTTCCCACAGCGCTCCAACTACCTGCACCGAGAGGTGGTAGAGCTGGCCCGGCAGTATGATAACGTGCGGGTGACGCCCTGGCGCATGGTCACCATCTGGGGCGGGGCCAGCCTGCTGAGGATGTATCTGCGGAGCATGCAGGACCTGCTGGAGGCGCCCGACTGGGCCTGGGACTTCTTCATCAACCTCAGTGCCACTGACTACCCGACCAGGTGTGGGGTGGTGCTATGAGCCCTACAGATGGGAGGGGGGCACGTCGTGGCACTCGGGGTGCAAGGGTCCTGATGGACTCCTTCCCTCCCGCAAGCCTCATTCTGGGATCTGCATAGCTCAGACATGGTCCCTTGGCCCCAGCAGTGTTTTAGGGGAGGAGCTGGTGAAAGATGATGTGAGGATCGAGGGTGACAAGAGGTGGGGAGGAGGAGGAGCCAGAGGTCTGTACTGGGGGTCATGGGTCAGACAGCAAGGGGTGGAAGAAGGACGGGGTGGTCTTCCTCAGGGGCCTCAGATGCCCACCACCCCGGAGCGTCAACCTAGAGTAGGTCACTTGGTCAGGACGACTCTCAGTGAGAAAGGAGGGGGCCAAGGAGTGACTGAGCCACTCTCACACACGCTCCCCACATCCCATTTCCTCTCCAGGACCAACGAGGAGCTGGTAGCTTTCCTGTCCAAGAACCGGGACAAGAATTTCCTCAAGTCGCATGGCCGGGACAACTCCAGGTGAGGGGCCGGGGGAGGAGGTCCTGGTCCTGGGGTCTTGGCACAAGCCCTCCCACACGGGGGGGCTCTGCGGCCCCAGCCTTGGGTTGTAAAACCTCCAAACCAATCACAGATTAAGGAGCGCTAGTTCCTGGAAGGATGAGAGCCTGGACCCCACCCTGCAAAACCCTCAGCCGCGGGCCCATCTGCCTCCCACAGGTTCATCAAGAAACAGGGCCTGGACCGGCTCTTCCATGAGTGCGATTCGCACATGTGGCGTCTGGGCGAGCGGCAGATCCCGGCGGGCATCGTGGTGGATGGCGGCTCTGACTGGTTCGTGCTAACGCGCAGCTTTGTGGAGTATGTGGTGCACACGGACGACCCACTCGTGGCCCAGCTACGTCAGTTCTACACGTACACGCTGCTCCCAGCCGAGGTGGGTGGCCGGGCCCGCGCCCAGGCTAAGAGGGTGCGCTGTGGGTGCCCCGCTCACCCTCCGCCCTGCCCTGTCACCCGCAGTCCTTCTTCCACACGGTGCTGGAGAACAGCCCAGCCTGCGAGAGCCTCGTGGACAACAACCTGCGGGTCACCAACTGGAACCGCAAGCTGGGCTGCAAATGCCAGTACAAGCACATCGTGGACTGGTGCGGCTGCTCCCCCAACGACTTCAAGCCGCAGGACTTCCTACGGCTGCAGGTGCTTCCCTATGACCCCTAATCTCTGCCCCTTGATAGGGCCTCACCCCAGCTTTCGCCAGGTGCTCTCCAGTCAGAAATGATCCAAGGTGGTCCAACCAGAGAACCTGGGGGCCCCTCGCTGGGAGCAGCCCTCAGGGGTCGGGGGCTACACTGGCAGCAGGAAAGGCCCTGGGAGGCTGGTCTCCAGGCAGTGCCGGGAAGGGCGCCGCCCCTGCTGTGCTCTCTGGGACCTCCAGACCCCTTCACCCTCCTTGCCTCTCTCGCTCCAGCAAGTCTCCAGACCCACCTTCTTCGCCCGGAAGTTTGAGTCGACTGTGAACCAGGAGGTGCTGGAAATCCTGGACTTCCACCTATATGGCAGCTACCCCCCTGGCACTCCAGCCCTCAAGGCCTACTGGGAGAACACCTATGACGTGGCCGATGGCCCCAGTGGGCTCAGTGATGTCATGCTCACTGCTTACACCGCTTTCGCCCGCCTCAGCCTGCGCCACGCCGCCACCGCTGCGTCCCCACTGGCCAACCCACTCTGCAGGTGAGACCTCCTTCTGACGTTTTGCAGACCCCCAGTGTGTAGTGCCCTACGAGGAGGCCAATCAGAAAGAGACAGCCCCTGCCGCCAGGGAGCCCCCAGTCTGAGGCAGGGAAAAATGCAAACAAAACAAAGGCGGCAAAAGCCAGGCACATGGGATCTGTGGGTATGAGATCTGGGGCAAAGAAAGCACCTGGGGACGGGACACCCCAGAGCCCCCTCCCTGGGACTCCAGGCCAAGCCAGGTGTGCTGATGGCATCTCCCTTTCTCCCTGCTGGAACCTTCTTAGGTTTGAGCCCAGGGGCTTGCCGTCCAGCGTGCACCTGTATTTCTATGACGACCATTTCCAGGGCTACTTGGTGACGCAGACGGTGCAGCCCTCAGCCCAGGGGCCGGCAGAGACGCTTGAGATGTGGCTGATGCCCCAGGGGTCGCTGAAGCTGTTGGGGCGCAGTGACCAGGCCAGCCGGCTCCAGAGTTTGGAGGTGGGACAGGTCCTCCCCTTGCTTTCTCCTGTCCCCCAGCAAGACTCGGGGTAGTGGGGAGAGAGGGACAGACACTAGGGGAGGGCTAAGGACTGGGTTAGGCCTTTCAGAAATGGATTCACGGGTCTTCTTTCCCAGTGATGGCAGCCTTGGGATGCACAGAGGACATGCAGTCAGCAGGGAGGGGCTTTGGTTCCACTACAATGCAAGCCCAGTCTTCTAAACTCCAGGGATTTTCTGCTAAAGGGACTTGGACATTCCAGTCGGGCCAGAAGATTAGGCTTTTGTGTGTCTCCTTAGCGTGGGGGTGGTCTCTGGGCAGGGCTTCGAGCCTCATCTCTGCCTTACTGCCCCCAGAACTTCAGAGCAGGTCAGAACAGGAGCCTAGAATGAATCTGAGCTTAGTAAAGAAATCCTAGTCTGAGCCCATCGTTTTGCAGATAGGGAAACTGGACCAGAAAGAGACAGTGGCTGGCCTGAGGTCACACAGGAATTAGAGGTAGCAGCAGGTAGAGAGGACTTTACCCCGGCTCCTGCCCAGCTGCTTCCTTTCCTGCAGGTTGGCACCGAGTGGGACCCCAAAGAGCGTCTTTTCCGGAATTTTGGGGGGTTGCTGGGGCCGCTGGACGAGCCTGTGGCCATGCAGCGCTGGGCCCGAGGCCCCAACCTCACAGCCACTGTGGTGTGGATCGATCCCACCTATGTGGTGGCTACATCTTACGACATCGTGGTAGACGCGGAAACCGAGGTCACGCAGTACAAGCCCCCACTGAGCCGGCCCCTGCGGCCAGGGGCCTGGACTGTTCGACTGCTTCAGTTCTGGGAACCCCTGGGTGAGACCCGCTTCCTCGTGCTGCCCTTGACCTTCAACCGCAAACTACCTCTCAGGAAAGGTAAGGATCTAGTTCCCAAATGATGCCCAGGAGCCAGGCCAAATAGGATTTGCCAGACAGGTGACCCCAAGAAGCTGACCATCAGAGTAGGGGAAGGGGACATGTTGTGGCCTTGATCATTCATCCGTAAGCATCCCAGGGCCTTGCACTATGGTATGGTGCTTCGGAGGCAGACTTGGCTCTAGAACACAGTTCTGACATTTTAATTGGGCTTTTATCCTTGGCAAATTACTTGGCCTTCCTGAGCCTCAGTCTTATTACATGTAAAGTAAGAGTAATACAACTGTTAGAGACCTCCTGGGTGCATGGAACACAGATCCACTCAAACTAGCTCCAGTGGAAAGGGGGAAATTATTGGGAAAATGCAGGGCTCTCCCCCACGGAACCTAGGAAACGACTCAGGTCCCACTGGGACCCAGAGGTGCTTTCTGTCTCTCTGGGGCCACCTTGTCCCTCATCCTGTGCTCTGTGTATCAGCCTCAGGCTCTGGTTTCTCAGTATATTGATACATGGCCTCTCAGTGCAGCAGAGACTGACCAGGGCCTCTTGGTCTACAAGTTCCACATCCTTAGGACAGCAAATCTGATTGGCCATCCTCCCAGTCCATTGGTAGCCAGGTGGGCAGGGTCACATGGCCCTCCACCCACTTGGCTAAGGATAAGAGAGCAGACTCTGAACACAGGCATAGGCTGCAGGTTCCCTCAAGGGGGCCCTAATACAAGTAACTACCCCCTGGGAGATATTAGGAATGAATATGTGGGTAAAAGTGGCTGGTATACAGTAGGCGCTCAATAAGTAGGTAGATGTTTCCTTCTTCCAGCCACATCCTATCACAGAGAAGGTGGGTCAGAGCAGAGGTAACCCGGAGGAGGACGGGGTGCTGGGGTGGGGCAGCGGCTGAGGCGGATCAGAACAGGCAGGCTGCGCCCTTGTTCTCCTAGGACTCATAGCCTGATGGAGGAGACGGGGCAGGGGAGGCAAGCTTGACAGCAGGAGGGCATTGGAGCTAAGCCTTGAAGGAGCTGGATTTTAATAGACAGAGAAGGGTATTCTAAACTGAGGGAACAAAGTTAGCAGGTGTCTGGTGCGTGAGGGGAACAGAGGGTGGAGGGGAGTAGGATGCCAGGGGGTGGTGGGAAGGAAGGCTGGCAAAGTAAGCAGGGCGCCACAGCAGGAGGGCCTGAGTACTAGGCTTCTGAGGGCTCTGGGAACCACTAGAGGTGGTTGAGAAGGGGCATGGGTGACACAAACCAGACCATTACCAGAAAGTAACCTTACTTTCTAAGGTGCCTTGAACCCACTGTTTTATTTAACCCTCAAGTCAGGAATTCAGGGATTACTGTCTTGATTTTCTAAAACTAAGTTTTACAGGCACAGAAAATTCTGTGGATTAGCCCAAAGTCACTCAGCAAGATGCAACTCAGTGGTAGAGGTGGGACAGGAACTGGGGTGCCCAGACCCGACTCCCAGGGTCTGGCCTTCATGGAATCATTTGGGCGGGGCATGCTTACTCCTGCTGTATACCCCCAGACGATGCCAGCTGGCTGCACGCTGGGCCACCCCACAACGAGTATATGGAGCAGAGTTTCCAGGGACTCAGCGGCATCCTGAACCTGCCTCAGCCAGAGCCCGCAGAGGAGGCTGCCCGGCTGCATGCGGAGCTCACGGGCCCTGCGCTGGAGGCCTGGACAGATGGGGAACTAGGTGGCTTCTGGTCTGTGGCCGGACTGTGTGCCATGGGCCCCTCTACCTGTTCCTCCCTGGAGCTCTGCAGACTGACCAGCTGGAGCTCTCTGTTCCCCGACCCCAAATCAGAGCTGGGGCCTGTCAAAGCAGATGGACGACTCAGGTAGCAGGGGCCAGCGCCTCCGGAGGACCCGGGGAATTGCACCTTACAGACAATGGAGGGATGTCCCCTTCATATGCAAGAACCAGAGGCCCAGGCAGTAGACCCGTGTCAGCCATCAAGAACTGTAGACAGCAGGGAAGGTGGGCTTAGTATTTACCACCGCAAATGGCTCTGCTGGGGACCAGGATGCTGGCAGGAACATGGGGTGAAGGGCTCCAGCTTCCACAGCCCACTCTTCCTCACCTTCCCCTCTAATTTTTTTTTTTTTTTTTTTTTTGAGAAAAAATTGCCCGGGGAATTGCACCTTACAGACAATGGAGGGATGTCCCCTTCATATGCAAGAACCAGAGGCCCAGGCAGTAGACCCGTGTCAGCCATCAAGAACTGTAGACAGCAGGGAAGGTGGGCTTAGTATTTACCACCGCAAATGGCTCTGCTGGGGACCAGGATGCTGGCAGGAACATGGGGTGAAGGGCTCCAGCTTCCACAGCCCACTCTTCCTCACCTTCCCCTCTAATTTTTTTTTTTTTTTTTTTTTTTAAGAAAAATGGGTAGTGGGGGGATGAACTGGAAACAAAAGATGTGCAATAGGGCTCAGAGCAGCCCCAGGAAGTGGGCCATGGCTCTGGGGAGCAGGGGCCTGACGAGCCCATCTGCTGCTGCTCTGGAGGAGGCTGGGCCGGCCTCACTCTCCAGGGCCTCATCCCCCAGCCTTGGCCTGTGCTGCTAACTGCTGAGGCTCTGCAGGGGTCCAAGTGCTATGCCAGGCTCTGAGGCCTGGAGAACAGGTGATTTAGGGGAGCACTGCAGAGCTGGAATCTAATGGGTCAGCCTCTCCTCTTATAGCCAGGGGACCATAGAAGAGGGGGTGGGGTTGGCTCTAGGGCTTTCCAGCATCCCCTGCCCCTTGATGGGAAAGCAGGGCACCAGGGCCTACTGAGACCATTGCGGAGTCTCCCAGGTACCCAGAACTGCAAGCAGGGCCTGGGGCGAGCCCTCATGAGCAGCATGGGAAGAAGACCCTGCCAGGGCTCTCAGAAGAACCTGGAGTAGCATTGTGCCTGAAGCTCAGTGTGAAGTCTGAAATATGCAACAGAAGAAATCTCTCTCTCTCTCTCTCAACTGAGCTTCTGTGTTTTTCCTCCTGGGTGTCAGAGAGCCATCACTGTTGGGCCCTCTTCTCCTAAAAGTCTTAGCTGGTACTTTGGCAGAAGGTGGAGGTCTCATTCCCCCAGCGTGGGAACAGTTTAAAATTCATCAAAGAGCTAGAAGGGACACAAGAACCCATCTAATCCAGATCCCTCTTTTTCTGAGGGGTAAACAGGCCCAGAGAGGCTCAGAGACTTCCTCATTGTCACCCAGTGGGCCAGCAGGAGACAGTTCTTCAGAGTCCTGACACGGCACTTCCTCCCTTGCTGCCAGGCCAAGGCAGAGGCTTGCTTCTCCGTCTTTGGAGTCACCAGGGCCCATCCCAGAAGCCCTCACTGTTTCCTGCCCAGTTCTGAGTTACGGGGCAGCCCCAAGAACGGAGGCAGTCCCAGCCAGGGCCTGGTAGTTACTATTGCCCCATTTACGAACAGGAGCAGTGGCGGCACGGGTTCCTAGCCGCTGCCTTAGGACCTGGGAGGGCCACGTTGGAAAGGTTTGTCTAGCCTCCCTCCATTTCTCAAGCCCTTTCTCCCCTCCCACTTTTCCGCTGTTGTCAGCCATGGCTCAGTATCAGTCCTTCACACCTTACATAATGTGGGAGCAAAGGTGAAGGTTTCTTAGACCTTTAAAATCACCCTATCAGCCAGTCACGCTGACCCGGTCAGCTCAGCTTGGGAAACAAAGGGCTCAGTTCCAGCCCAGGCTGCCATGTGTCAAGTTTTTCAAGTTGCCAGGAGAGGGCACCCGTGACCACCAGTGGCAGCGTTTGGGTTTCGGTTTGTTCAGCCACTGTGCTGACCTTGCGTGGGGTATCTCATTTAATCCTCACAGCCCTTTGAGGCAGGCAATTTTATTATTTTCCTTTAGCACACCAGGAAACTGAAATGATGAACCCAAAGCCAAAGCTGTTAGTTGGTGGCTGCAGCCTTCAGGTGGAGGCAGGAGGACTCCACGCCACTCTGTCACTACATTCTCCTGCTCTCCTAAGGCAGGTAACGAGGAAGGAGCTAACGGCAAGCACTCCAAGGAAATACTGTTTGGGTTCAAGGGCTGAGATGGTTGCTTTTTTCTGGCTCCTATTTTATAGAACATCTGAAGTTCTAATCTGGTTCTCCAAAAGTTTTTTGTTTTTACATCAGCCTTTAGATCGATTTAAAAAAATTAATAACTGTGTTTAGCATATCAGGCACCGGCAGTAAATATCAGAGCATTTAGACTCCGCTGACTAAGGATTCACAGACCAGCCAGCAGGTTTAACCCAGGCTGTGGCTATGCAGTTGTTGTTGGGCTAGCACAACTGTTTCCAAGGTCTTATTTTTGGAACTTAGGTGGGACATGCCCTCTGTTTCAGCCCCTGCCACTCCCATCCTGTTACACCAGGTCCCAGTCACCTGCTGTGACCATTTTGAGCTTAGCCCAGTGGATGGGGATCCAGACTGAGGGCTCTGAGTTAATTGCCCTGAGGTGGCAACCCAACACTGGTGTGGGTTCAGAGGTCCCTCAGGCAATTCTAATTTGCAGGCTGGCAGGAAAACTATGAAGTCCAGCCCCAGCCCCAGCCCCACTGCTCTGGCCGGTCTGTCTTGGCCCCATGAGTCAGAAGCAATGTGGGACGAGGAGTAGGCTTCATGACTCCATCCTCTCCCCTGTCCAGGTCACTGAGGCAAGTGTGAGTGCAGCTACTCGGACTGAATTCCTGGCCAACAGTGTCCCCCACCCTCACCTTTCTGTAGGGTTAGCTCAACCCAGAGGCTTGAGCTTTTTGAGGCTTTGAAATCCTCCCCTGGCTGGGCCCCTGGGGTCAAAATCGGAATAACAGCCAGGCGGAAGTGGGGTGGGGGCGTGGGGCCTGGGCCCCCAGAGCTGCCCAAGAATTCCTTTGGAGGGAGGGGAAGAGCCTGGGGAGAGAGGCTTTTGTATTTTGTGCCTGGTTTCCAGGACAACCACGGACACCTCAGTTCCCTTAGAGGTGGGACCAAAGACCAGAGGACAGTTGGCATTTGGAGCCCTGTCACCTGAGCTGATGGGAAGTGGCGGGGGAGGGGGGGTGCAGAGTAGGGCTGGGAGGGGATCGGGGCTGAGAGGTGCAGAGATCTGGGCGAGGTGGAGCTCTCCTGGCTGTCTTCTGGGTTTAGCAGAAGCCTAGCCTGTTCCCGCCAACCCCTTCTCCTGCAGGTTGTTGAGGGACCCTCGTGGCTGCCAGGCCTGCAGAGTGGAGTGCCATCTGTGGGACACTAGGTCCTGGCATGATACTGACCAGGACAAGCAGGGGCAGAAGCTGAGAATCTGGAGAGCTGCTCACAGATACCATGGCTCTGAATGAAGCTGCTCCTCTGGGCCAGGGATCCTGGGTTGAGGGTTGGCCCTGTGGGGATGGTGGGGGGGGCCGGCAGGGGGGGGGCCATCCTGTGGCTGTCTTCAAGGGCATTTAAGGCCAGTGCCCTTTCTTGGCACCGCTCTGCCACAGCTGTTCCCTGTGCAGAGATCACTGTGGAGGACAGCCTCCTAGACATAGTTGTGGCCACTGGTGAGTACCCATTGCTGTCCCAAGTTCAGAGTTGGGGCAGATGCACACACGGCCTCTCACCAGAGGCCAGAAGTCCAGCTTCTTCATCTATAGGGTCACCTAAAGCAAGCCACTTGGGGAGAATGCTGTGTTTGGCTAGTATATGAATCCTGAGGTCCCTTCCCTGCCGTGTTCGGCCGGCAGGGGGGGGGGCCATCCTGTGGCTGTCTTCAAGGTCATTTAAGGCCAGTGCCCTTTCTTGGCACCGCTCTGCCACAGCTGTTCCCTGTGCAGAGATCACTGTGGAGGACAGCCTCCTAGACATAGTTGTGGCCACTGGTGAGTACCCATTGCTGTCCCAAGTTCAGAGTTGGGGCAGATGCACACACGGCCTCTCACCAGAGGCCAGAAGTCCAGCTTCTTCATCTATAGGGTCACCTAAAGCAAGCCACTTGGGGAGAATGCTGTGTTTGGCTAGTATATGAATCCTGAGGTCCCTTCCCTGCCGTGTTCTATGATGCTACAGTCTACGATAGCGGAAGAGAGTCGGCACCAGGAGTTTGACTTCCGACTCGAGCCCTCCCTCTCCTGCCTCCTCAGATCCAGGTTCTAAGGGTGTCTGCCCCGCCACAAGCTCCTCCTCCCTGAGTCTGTCCCTCTGTAAACTCCCTTACACACATCACTCCTTCCCTGGGCTGAAGGAAGATAGGATATAGCTGCTCCGTCCTCCCTCACAAATCTCTGCCACAAGGAATTGATGCAGCAGCAAAAAGGGAGCTGCCTGCCCCTGTTCCCCCTGCATGTCAAGCTGATACTAGTCCCAGCCAGG